CAGACTGGCAGCTTACGTTTTGCCAAAATGAGCTTCTGCACTTGCCAGCCGTGGAAGGTTTAATTGGATGTTCTGTATGTCCTTGAACATTTAACACTTTTGTCAGTTTTTCATTCCCTTTGATTTTCTAAACCGGCTTTTTGCCAGCCTCTCATTCAAGTAAATCTCTAAAAATTTTATGATTTAAGTCACTGGTGAAGAAAATACTGGGCAGACAGACACTTGTGTAAGGATTTTTACCATTAAAATTGGATGGATTCCATGCATACGAGCTAATTCATTCAGCCTGATCTGCAAGACCTCTTAAGTTATATTCTTGACATAGGGCTTCCCTGGTGGCTCAGATGGTAAAGAATCCGCCTGCATTGTGGGAGACCAGGATTCAATCTCTGGGTTGGGAAGATCCTCTGGAGGAGGGCATGACAACCCACTCCAGTATTCTTGCCTAGAGAATTCCATGGAAGGAGCCTGGCAGGCTGCAGACCATGGGGTCACCAAGAGCTGGACACAATTGAGCGACAAAGCACACATTCTTGACATAAGAGTCATTAAAAACTATCCCTGCAAAACCAGGAGTCATTGTTGACACTAATTACATGAAACCATTTTTATTTTATTTTTTCCCCCAAACTTTAAACTTTTTATTTTGTATTGGGGTATAGCTGATTAACAGTGTTGTGGTAATTTCAGATGAACAGTGAAGGGACTCAGTCATACATATATTCTCCCCTAAAGCCCCCACCCATCCAGACTGGTACGTAACATTGAGCAGAGTTCCATGTGCTATACAGTAGGTCCTTGTTAGTTAGTTATCCATTTTAAATACAGCAGTGTGTACATGACCTTCCCTAAATCCCTAACTATCCCTTCCCCACAGCAACCATAAGTTCAATATGTGAAACCATTTTTAATTCTTTGTTTATGTAGGTGGCAATTTTATGTCAGTTCCTCAGAGAGATTGACTACAAAACAGCCTTTAAATCACTGCAGGAACAAAACAGGTATGAGTGGTTTTTAAAATAAAGTTGAAATTTTCTGCATAAGAAAGATGAAATAACTGAATTCTGTTTTTCAGTCATGATGCAATGGACTCCTACTATGACTATATATGGGATGTTACCATTTTGGAATATTTGACTTGTATCCTTTCATTAACGTATATGTGTGTTACTAGAACAGTTCATTTTCTGTAAATTAAAGGAGTATTTAATATTGTGTATGTTCTAAATAAAAAATGAAGAACAGAACAGAGTCTCTTGCCATGATATGTAATAGTATTAAATTTATTATTCTTAACTGATTCATTTAGATCTTCATCATAAAAGAGGAGAAACAGATAAAAGACAAATTGCAGTAAGTGATTTTGTGCTTTGATTCTTCAGTGATATACTTAATTTCCCTAATACTAAACCGTTTCTTGCCTCATACCATGTTGGTGTCCTTACAGTGGTCTGCACGGTCGAGAGTGACCTGACCTCCAGCTAGTCACTTGACTCCCCTTTGCTAAGTTCTGCTACCCCAGTACCCCTAGCGTTCTTTGAGCATGCCAAGAACATTCACCACCGAAGTGTCTGTCACATTTTCTCTTTCAGGAACATTCTTTTTTAACTTTGCTCAGGTTTCTCCTCAGATGTCACCTTCCTAGAAATCATTACTTTCCTGTTGTTGTTCAATCACTGAGTTGTGTCCCATTCTTTGCGACCCCATGGACTGCAGCATGCCAGGCTCCTCCGTCCTTCACTGTCTCCTGGAATTTGCTCAGGTTCATGTCCATTGAGTCGGTGATGCCATCCAGTCATCTCATCCTCTGCCCCCTTCTCCTTTTGTCTTCAGTCTTTCCCAGCATCAGGGTCTTTTCTAATGACTTGGCTCTTCCCATCAGGTGGCCAAAGTACTAGAGCTTCAGATCAGTCCTTCCAATGAATATACAGGGTTGATTTCCTCTAGGAGTGACTGGTTTGATCTCCTTGCAGTCCAAGGGACTCTCAAGAGTCTTCTCCAACACCACAGTTTGAAAGCATCAGTTCTTCAGCACTCAGCCTTCTTTACAGTCCAACTCTCACATCCATGTATGACTGTTCGAAAAACCACAGCTTTGACTATGAGGACCTTTGTTGGCAAAGTGATGTCTCTCCTCTTTAATACATTACCCAGGTTTGCCATAGCTTTTCTTCCAAGAAGCAAGGGTCTTTTAATTTCATGGCTGCAGTCACCATCCACAGTAATTTTGAAGCCCAAGAAAATGAAATTTCAGTGCTTCCATGTTTTCTCCTTCTGTTTGCCGTGAAGTGTTGGGATTGGATGTTATAAGGTTAGTTTTTTGAATGTTGAGTTTTAAGCTGGCTTTTTCATTCTCTTTCACCCTCATCAAGAGGCCATCTAGTTCCTCTTCACTTTCTGCCATTAGAATGGTATCATCTGCATATCTGAGGTTGTTGATATATTAGAGCTTTCTATTTGGACTAAACTGTATGGCCATTATTTAGAGGCGACAGAGTGACAACAGCATCTTAAAAAAAAAAGACAAGAATATAGTGCCAGTTCCACTTTATTGGAAGCTACTCATTCTTTCGTTTATAACTTAACCAGAGTTGGAAGGTAATGCTGAAAATTTCTCAGTACCCTGATGAGATTTCCAGACTACCTCTACTTGTATCATTTTTTAAGCCCCTTCTTGGAAGCTTAAACCTGCCTCCTTACTAGCTCATGTAGACACTAACCTAGTTGTTCCTCTGCATACATCAAAAAATGTATAATCAACTTATCCAGCTGCCCAACATTTCAAGTTCCATTGTCATCTTTACTGTTCATCAGCCTCCAGTATCCATAGCCAGGCCTTTTTGACAGACTTGCTCTATGAAGATCTCTATGCCAATAATCTGTCCCTTTCTTACCTCTTGACTTTCATGTTTCTCATCATCACGGGATGTTCAGGTTCATGACCAAGTGTTCCCCAGTCTGTCACCCCTTTCCCTCTGCCTTCTTTCCTCCTGGCCCGAGTACAGCAGACGCTGGCCGGTGGGCCCCATGGCTGCAACCTTAGCTGGCCCCTGATTGTCGACCTGCCGGTGGTCCATGGTGTGCCTTCTTTTTCGGGAATGTTTTAGACTTTTGCCCTATTAAGCCCTGTCTTCTCTCTCCTTTTTCCATTTTCACTAACTTGTGTTTGAAGTAGACAAGAAAAAAACTGGTCAGTTCCTGTCCTGGTGAAAGTTATAGTCTTGGGAGTTACGGCCTTGTGAGTGCCAGCTTCAAATTCCTGTTTCAGATCCCTGCTTTCCACCTTTGAAATAATCGCCACTGTACTCAGTATAAGTTTATGCTACTCCTTTATGAAGATACATTTTTATGCTTTTGATTCTATCCCTTCAGTCATTCTATCCCTTTGAGTTGGTATCTCCTCTCTTATATTGTCAAGCAGTCCCATTAAACCGAAAAACTATTTCCTCCTTAATATAAACTTATCTTGACTGTGCCTCTACCTCTTTCTGTCCCCTCTGCCTAGTTTTTTGGGCGCTTTTACCCAGTAGTTTGATTTCTCCTGTCCCTCACTGTTTTCAAGGGACACCAAATGCCAAAGGCAGTGAATACTTTTCAATCTTTATTCTGTTGTTTACATCTCCTTCCTTTCTTGAAATTATTCCTTTGGCTTCCTTAACATCATTTATACTCATTTCTTCTCCCTGACTCTTCTGCCTTCTCTTCTTTGTGGATATTTCCACATCTACCCCGAACCTTGGTTTTTGTCAAGAAGTTAGTCCTTGGGTATTTCATGATTGCCCTTCATTCTCCCTAGGTAACTTCATCCACTTGTGGTTTTGACCACTACCCACTTAGGGTGTGTTATTTCTCTCAAATATCTGCCTCCTATTCCAATTTCTGTCTTCTTAAAATGTTTATTGGGATACAGTTGCTTTACAGTGTTGTGTTAGTTTTTGCTATACAGCAGAGTCAATCAGTTATATACATATATATGTGTGTATTCCTTCTTTTTTAGATTTCTTTTCCATTTAGGTCATCACAGAGCACTGAGTAGTTTCCCTGCTATTCAGTAGGTTCTTATTAGTTATTTTTTTATATGTAGTAGTGTATATATGTCAATCCCAAATTCATCCCCCCCACACTGTTATCCATAAGTTTGTTCTCTGTCCAATTTCTGTGTTAGACTTTGGATTTTTTTAGCCAGTTGTCTTCAGGATATTTTGTTTGAAATAACTCTAGTTATTCCCCACTACTAGGTTTTTTCACATGCATTCTTTCATATTGAAATAGCATTATCAGCAAGTCCTCCTACCCACTAACCTGATCATTTCTGAATAGTCTTAGCTTCCTTCAGGCTACCTTTCAAATAGTCTGTTGTTTTTAAAAATACAGCTTCTTTAAAGGTAATTTTAAGGTCTTAAAACATGCTCTCACAAAACATTCCGTGGCAGAATACTACTATAGATTTTTATCAGGCTGAAGTATTTCTTTCTAATCATGAAAGAGGTGGGTCACTATATATAGTGCTGAGCAACTAGCTATTTTTACATATGTAAAAAGTGAAGCCCCCAAATATGAATTTTTATTTTTTTGAATTATTTTTTAGAATCTTTTAAAAATGTGTCAGATTACATGCAGACTTTATTTAGTGATATTTTTAGTCAGATAAACATAAATGAATTTACTTAATATTCTGAAGATAATTCCACAAACTATGGTAATTGGTCTTTTCCTTGAGTGCTTCCAGTCTTTATGTTAATTTCTTCTACACCTCTTAGCATCTACAATTAGAGGTTCAGTTATCGTTGTTAGCAAGTAGGTAGTTTTATATTATGTATATTAGCAAAGCTTTGTTTTTGACCACACCTCTAACAACATCACTTTTTTGTTTTGGAAGATCAAAGCCATCGGCCAGACAGAACTGAATGCAAGCAACCCAGAAGAAGTGTTACAGCTGGCAGCGCAGAGAAGGAAAAAAAAGTTTCTCCAAGCAATGGCGAAACTTTACTTTTAAGCAGTTAGTTACAATTTTTAACTTTTATTTTTTAAATGATGGGCTAAAAATAAACAGTATTAAAAGATTAAGTTTATATAATACATATGTACATATTTAGTGGCGTTTTCTTTTCAGACAGAATACTGAAACATATTAGTTTAAAAATGAAAACTATACAGAAGACTTCATACCATAACAATAGCTTAAATTTATAATTTCTTCAAAGGAAAAAGAGTCACATGTTCAATAACAATAAACTAGTAAATCTAGGATAATTTTCTAATCTACTTTTGAGGCTGACATTTCATTTTTAAAAAAACTAGAATATTTATGTAGGAGTAGCTATATACAGTAAGTTCTTATGTCAAGGTTTTGTTGCTTTTTTTAAAAATAAATAGATTTCTAGGAGTCAGTATACATTTACTGCTTTTCTGCCTTAAGAAAATAGAAGTTTAGGTCAAGTGTTAAGCTTTATCACTTTGACACTGTCCTTAACTCATAATGTAAGAATTTAAAAAGGACCTTAGCAGTTTTGTAAATATAAATAAAGCCTTAGTCACACTAAATTAAGATAACTCTAAAGATTTTTTTTAGAGTAATAAAGTGACTTTCTCATATAAATAGTTTGAAAGGGTACTTAAGTTTTTCGCCCCAATTGTGATGTACAAAGAGTTATTATAAAGCAACCTTTATGTCAAAGCCCCAAGTAGGAGCCACAGCATTTATCTTGTTTATAAGTTCTTTGGTATTCCCACTGTTCAGAGTACAGTTTAAACACCATGTTCATCTAAGCTTTACTGGTTAAAAATGTTTTATATAGCAAGGCAAATAAAAATAGTCAAACAGATGAAAGTTCACCATTTTTTAAAAATTCAAGTTTTATAATAGCTTGCTTGCTACAGCAGCTATAGATAAATTAGTCACCTTATTAAAAAACTAAACCTTTGTAAACAAGTTTAAATTTTATTTTCAAGAACCAAATTGCACTAGTTAAGAGTTTATAAATTTTGAGAACCTATAAACTAGATTCAAAGTACTGTATCATTTAATATACCCTTTAAGGTAACAGTTATCTAGTTGAAAATTCCAATGATGAAATTCCTAGTTTATCAAGATAAACATAGCAACACTGGGTCAAAGACTTGTTATGGCACAAATCGTGGCTGGCTTTTATCCAGCCAGTACTGGGAATGAAGTCATCTTTGTAAACAAGTACTGCTGTTTCTTTAAACAGCTAACATGGGAATTAAATACATTTCCTCCTTAGTGCCAATTTTAAGTGGTTTTTAAATCAAAGAATGGCAGTGAAACTTCTGAATTGGCAGGACAGTCACAGCACTGTTTTCCTGTAAAACTTAAGTAGTTAAGTTCCATGAAATGCTGTGCAGCACTTCATCAGTTCCCAGTTGTTTGCTCAGTTAACTTTCTTAGTGTTTTCCTGGTGGTTTTTCAGTGCTCTTCGGTGGTGTCATAATGCCTCCATTGCACACTGGTGACAACTGTCCCTCCTTTCTGAAGGTGTTTACATAATTTACTTCATCCTATACACGTGAAGAAATCATGCAGAGATTAACAGCTAAGATGAAGCATTGACATGATAAAACAAAGTCAAACCAGACTCTTAGGCTTAATATAATGGTCTCTTTATGTCTTTACAACTGTGAGTAGTCATATTCTAGAGGTTCAACGATATTAACTGCCTGCAACTTGTATTTTTAAACTCTACCTGGAGTACTGGTATTAATCTTGAGACACTTAAGTCAAATCTTGATTTGACGTCAAAGTTAATTTTTATTAGGTTTTCTACATTTGAAATCAGTGTCCTCACTGGAACTTTCTATCCCCTTACTATCTTATATAACTGCCTGAAATATTACTCCATTAGTATCCTTACTGTCAGTTTCAGTGCCTTATTAAATCGACCAAAAAGTACAAGAAACATACCAGCATAGCCAGATAATTTGTATGTGTCTGTATGTTGTGTCTGTCTTCCATAGAAATCTTCTTAAAAATCTTAAGCTTCGCTGGGCTAGTACTTTTTACTACACTGACAAAAGGTACCATCCAGTCTACACATTCAGAAATGTTGTCCCATTCCAAACCTAGATAAAGAAAAGTTAGAAAAATACTTGTATCGTTAGAAAAATACACACGTATGTTTCTGTTATGTCAGAAACATGATTACTGTATTTGCTTGTGCTTGAAAATTTAAAGATAGTTCATTAAAAACTCATGTAAAAAGGAAACCAAAACAAGCACATAAAATAAACCAAAATCAGTAAGTTTAGCAAGTCAAAACATTATTCCTCTCCAACTGTTTATAATGTGACTATTTTGAGGGAGAAAAAGACTTAGAGCTTTTTAGCCAGTACATGCTACATAGAACTTAAGACAGAGCTATAATCACAGTGACTAACTTCAAATGGATTTAAATTCCATTTGACTTCATTTTTATTTTAAGAAAATACTTACTTATTTGGCTGCCCCGGGTCTTAGTTGCAGCATGTGGGATCTAGATCCCTGACCAGGGAGGCACCTGGCCCCCTGCATCAGGAACGTGGAATCTTAGCCACTGGACCACGAGGGAAGTCCCAACCTTAATTTTTATTTGTGGCTATACACTGGATTAGAAACTACTTATAATAGAAGGGAAGATAATTGTTAAACTGCTTTTTTTCATTAAAATTTTAAAGTCTTGTGTAGCAGGATGCTAAGTTCATAAATAGTCCCTTCAAGAGTTGTAAGTAAGGAAAGAACAAAATACACGGGTCTTACCTGAGGCTTTCTTAACCACTTCAATAGAGGTAAAGTGGCACAAGGCAGCAGCAGCCAGTATTCTGTACTGGAACTCTAATGAATCGATGGCTAAAATACACAGATCTAAAAGCTAACAGAGGAAAAAGTGTAAGAATTTAAGAAAGAATGAGTACTACATGTCATTAGTCAGCTAGCATTTTAGAGTGCTTACGATGTGGACTATATACCAAGAATTGCTAAAATTGCAGGGATCCAAAGAGAAGCAAACTGCCATCCAAAGGAAGTTCCAGTCTTGTTAACAGACAAGTAAAGGACTGTTATAATGTAGCATGCATATCCTATTAGGAAGTGCCCTGATCCAGAGCAGGGAAGACTGCTTAAATCAGGAGGCAGCCAGAGAGACTGGGGGGTAGAAAATGTTCTGGATACAGGAAACAGAATTTACAAATATTGAGTGAGAAAGTATTACTTTTCTGTGGAACTCCAGTATTTCAGAACACAAAAAATATGAAATAAGGAATATCTTTCCCTCATGTTTTTAAAAAGGGAGCTGCTACAGAGTTTTGGCCTAGAAAGGGTCTTTAAGTCAGACCTTTATAGTTCTGATTATTCTACTTATGAGAAGCAGGCAGGAAAGAATAGTACCCTCCTCCTGTACTTTCTTAGAATATTTGTTACACACTGGCCTAGGAAAGTTTGAACTTAAAATTTTTAAATAATGTTATAACTAAATTAGGTGATTTTAATTCCAATATGTAAAATAGGTTCCATACGTATTCAAATATAAGATGGTAAGATAATTATATTGGAATAATTTTATACCATTTAAAACCTAAAACAACTGGCCGAAAAATACCTCTCTGTGTTAAATCAAAAAGAGGTATTTAACTGTCTACCTCATTCATACTCCTAGTGAAGAGTGCTCATGATATATTTAAACTCAAGTTTAAAAACTTTTCTAGAATTTTCAGTTAGCAATATAAATAGTGGGACAGAATTTTATGCATGAGGAGCTTTGTTCTAGTCAGTTAAGGAGTGAATTTAATTCAGTATGCTGTCATTTGGTTGTACAGCCTATTTAACACTAAAGAAATACACTAAACAAAACCTGTAATTAATAATATTAGCATATATACCATAAAAATATCAATACCTGAGCAATTTGAATGAACTTTTCCTGAGAATACTGAGGTAGAAGAACTTTAGGAGCATCTTTAAGAGCATCAACTTGGAGGAAAAGATTTAGCCAGGAGATGACCGTTACAGGACAAAGTTCCCATTTTAAAGCCTGTTAATGAAATTAAAATGCCTGTTAATAAATGTAGTTACATATACACACCACATTATATGGGTAGCTCCTTAAATAGCTGTTTTAAGAAACTTTCTGCTTTAGGCTTATTTCTTCTTATTTTAATGAAAATATTTATAGGTATCTCACCACCTAAAGTGGCTTGTGTTTTAGTCTATTATTGATATAGACCCCTATATTATACTCTAGTTATCTTTATTTACAGAGTTCATTGGGCCTATTTTTCATTCCTATTTTTCTCATTTCCTGCAGCCCCTTGTCTTCCAAGTGTTCTCTACTTTATTGAAACTGCCCTTTTAATTATATTCAATGACTCCACAGCTAATTCCATTTAAATCTTCCAAGAACTGACTCTACACTTTTTCTTTCTTTCTATGATCTCCAGTGGCTTCTATTCAAAATGTAAAAGTTATAAAAAAAAAAAAAAAGCCAAATCCTAATTTATGATATCTTTCCCTCCACGAAGCCCTGGGACTTTACCATTTATAAGTCTACAAAAATTAGGATAGAACAGAGAGTCTTAATGCCTGTAGGACCACCCAGAGAATTCAGTCTTCTCTTTATATATCCTTATAGTATACTTCAGGCTTCCCAGGTGGCGCTAGTGGTAAAGAATCCACCTGCCAATGCAGGAGATGCAAGAGACCTGGGTTGGGAAGATCCCCTGGAGGAGGGCATGGCAACCCACTCCAGTATTCTTGCCAAGAGAATCCCATGGACAGAGGAGCCTGGCCGACTACAGTCCATAGGGTTGCAAAGAGTTAGACATGACTAAAGGGACTTAGCATACATGCATGCATACACTATACTTGAAGTCTGAATCTAGATAACTTTATTATTAGAACATATCAGAAGTATACTAAATATGATAACCTATAATGGTAAAAAAATCTGAAAAATAATATGTGTATGTATATATATATACAGCTTATATATATATATATATATATATAAGCTGAATCACCTTTGCTATACAGCTAAAACTAACAACACTGAAAATCAACTATACTTCAATAAAATTTTTTTAAAAAGAACAGTATCAGCATGCCAACAAGATCACATTCTAACAGAGCTATCAATCTGAATGTTTATAAATATTTTACAAGTTTTTAATTTATATTTTAATGCATATAGTTTATAGATAACTTACAAATGAAAGTCATATTGTGTTCTGTGTCCTATTTATAAAGCCATGATGCTCAGATTTCATAGCATACTTTCTAGTAGCTAACATTCACCCTTTAATTTCTAATTCAAGGCCCAAAAATACCTTTATACTTCTCTCCTCTACCCTTCTATTAATAGCCCTTGCCATACATATAGAGATGAAGAAAAAAGCAGTGAAATATTTCTCATTCTCTATCTGCTGGAAGTGGAAAAACAACTAAGATTTGAGAATCATTGTTGAAATTCATTTAGTACACATACTGTGCTAACTACCCTTTTTTAAGTTTTAAGTGTTGTTAAACACTTTAAAATTAACAAATATTCTCAATATAGGAAAATTTGAAAGACACAGAAAAATAGTTTACTGGTTAAGCAAATTCCCCTCCCATCTTAGAACTGTATCCTAATACTAAAACCTCAGTTTTCACTACTTACACTGTAGTCTTTGAGATTTAGTAAACTATAGTTACTAAATTGCAAGTAGAAATAATAAAGATACTATTACCTTTAATATAGCAAGTTCCATCCTTAAGATATCATCTTCACTGCAAGCACCATCAGTGACATAAGCAAACTCTTGGAGCTTAGGAGCGTAGATTTCCTTTAAAATGGATTTAATTAATATCAAGCACAGCTGAGACTGAGACTAAAACAAACCACATATACAAACCACATCTCGGCTTTGTTTTTAAAAGACAGCGTCACAAAGTGATTATAAAATAATTCTGTGGCAGCCAAAGCAACCTTACATTTAATGATTTTCATATCTAGGTATCTAAATTAGCCAACTTGTATTGACTGAAACGTTTTTATAGAACTGATTTAAAATCTTAGTTAATAAACAATTAAGAGTATTTTAACCAGTGATTTCAGTGACTGGTTAAAACAAAAAGCCAAACTTGTTTTAGGACTGCTTGGTATACTAGACTAAAACAGGATACTCAACAAAGTCTAGAAACTGAAAATGTTAACCTTACCCTAGTACAAAAGTATGGTTAGTCAAACAATAATTTATGTAGTTTGTTGATCTATCTTAATTCAGAGAACAAGAACCAGAATGATCAGAGTAGAAGAGATGCCTGCCACAGGTGAGAACAGGCTAAAGATCAAGATTCAGTCTAGAAAAATATTTGAAACATACAGTATTATTTCAGATAAGGAGATACTGAATAGAAACTTATAAAATTTGGGGATAGCCCATAAACCTCAAAAGACAACAATGTGGAAGAAAAATACACTTCAGGAAATTAATGCATGGTTCAATCCCTCCCGTACTCTCAAAACTGTACAGGCTTTGAAAACATCAGATGAAGTTACTAATGATCTGTGTTGAATTCAAGATAAGTAGATGGAAACTATGTGAAAAAAGATTTCAGGCAGAAAAATTATTTCCTTCTATCCTGGCACTATTATCAGATACAGAAATATTAGGCTGGATATAGATCATTATTCTAACCCAAGATAGCATTTATTCCTTTTGATTGGTTAAGTAGGTCTCAAAGACCATTCTATTGAATCCAAGCACCATAACTAGGTATATAGAGACAGCATTGGTGGTTTTGTTTGGCACAGTGAGTCATGGAACATTTCACCTAGATTCTAGTTCCAGAATCAAACCAGAGACTTTTAATTTAAGAGTTTGGGGTAAATATATCTAGGGATAAATTCCGAGAGCTTACCTCAAGTTTGGAAGCAATGAATAATGAGGTAATTCCAATCAGTTGAAGCATATTTTTATTTATATCCTTTTGTGTCAACATAAATCTATCAAAAAAGTCTTGTGCAAGATAAAATGTTTCCCTATGAAGTGTGTATACTTCACATACCTAGAGAAGAATCCAAACATTTAAATATTATTCCATTAATTTCTCCAAATTACAAAGTTCCTCTTAGCATACTAAAGAACAGTTTTCTGAAGCCCAACTTTTTTAGGATACCAAATCACAAATGCAGGAAAAAGTAACATGTGCTAATAGAATAAATTAATCTATTACCATCCTCACTGACTCTTAATTAGTTTCATAGGTTTTTTCCACATGGATTTAATATGTTTATTCCCAGATTCATTTTGCTAACTATGGATGAGGACTTTTTTCCTATTAACTTTTTAATTTTTATTGATAAATGGGTGGGTGTTTTCATGATGCTTAGTTTGTCTTCTGATAGTTCCAAGTGATTTCTTTCATTATTTTAGATATACATTTAACTACAAAATGACAACTGTGTTTCTTCAATGTTCTTATCTCATTTAAGAACTAAAGAAGAAAACTGAATGGATAACACTGGTGATGGTCAAAATTTTTATTGTATTCCTTGTTTCTGACTGTAATGGGAGTTCCCCTAATGTTAACACTATTACTGTTACTAATAAGTAGTATCTGTCATTTCCACAATATAGGGAAAGCTTTTAATTCTCAAAATAATTTCATGAAGCAGGGAGGAAAGGATAGACATCAATGTGTTACTAATAAACATTTAATGTGTTAAGGAAATTTATTCCTAGTTTATTATACATTTTAAAATCAGGAATGTGTACTGAATTTCAAAAAATACCTTTTACATCCATGATAATAACCTTATGATTTTTCTTCCTTAAACTATAAATAGAGTTTCAAATGTTGAACCATTTTTGCATTCCTAGACTGAAAGACTACACTAAGACAAAGTAGAGATTAGGGCTCTGCTGGATTTGACTTACTATATATTCTATTTGGTTTTGTATATGTAATCATATATTTAAGGGAAAATAGGGATAAATTTGATAGACAACCACTGAATAAAAATCAATTTAACATAAAAAGGAAAAATAAAATCAACATAATTATGCCAAAAAGTTGCATTCATGATCACTAGACATTCAGAAAAAGTCAGTAGTCAACTACAGTCTTGTACACATATGATTGAAATGTAATCTTCCCTTCTAGTCAGAATAAGGAATAAGATGACCGGATTCAGAAGGACAATATTTTGTACTCGTAAGAACTTTTCTGATAGCTCCTGAGATCTATTCTGCCATGTGGTACTTCCCCCTTAAAGTTCACTGTCTCTATAAAAAACAGGTAAATTACAGAGCAAGTATCTAAGGATTGTGGGAAAATCAGTTTGTTATCAATACAGGTAATCATTTTCTCAATAATAATTTGAGATTCTTTCAGAATTATTATCCAGAAAGGATATGGTGCCTAAACGAGAGCAGACATTCTGGCACAGATTTTTTAGGGACTTCTGGATCACTAATTATTTCTGTAATGGTACAGTTTATTTCTGAAAGGAACAGAGGGATATAATAAAAGTCACATGAAGCCTTGAGAGCTTAGGGCTACTGGATATTCAAAACCTCCTTATCATTTAGGATATAGAAATTAGGATTCCAAATCATAATTTGATTTTGGTGATGAAGGACTTCTGAGGGTCCTGAAGCCTAGTCCTGGTTCTTCACTTTGCATGGCAGAATTCAAAACCTTGTCAAATTCTGTTCATCTCGAGTATCCTTGGCACCTAGAACAGTGCCTAGTACACAGCAATACTCAGATACCAGGATTTCTAAATTGCGTTTGGGTTGTGTAGGATGTAGTGGCTGTGTCAAGATTTTACTCTTTATCATTTGGTATCATCTGCTGGTGAACAGCACCCAAAAAATGCCTCCTGGGGTCTGTCTTGGTAGTCCAATGGCTAAGACTCTGTGCTCCTAATGCAGGGATTTGAGGGAACTAGGTCCCACATGCTGCAACTAAGAGTTCACATACTGCAACTGAAGATCTACATGCCACAACTAAGACCCAGTACAGCCAAATAAGTACTAAACAACAACAACAAAAAGGCTCCTGGCAATAGGTAATATACCATGAGGGCACATGGGAAGCATATTATGTTTAAATACTTTCCCATCATACAGAGAAAGAAGAAATTTGTACTGCTAGAACATACCTCTAAAAGCCAGTCTAGAAGTATTGACCTCATCTGTGGTTCCAACTCAGAATGCAGAACTTCAAAATGTTTGTCGTGAACATATCTGGTCTCTTTTTTTAACATGTTTAGCCAAACATCTTGTGAACATCCCCAGCTATGGAAAGGCGAAAAATATTGTCTGATCTACATAATATACAGCTACCTGTTGCACACTGAGTAAACTCAACTTCCAAACACTGAATTAGAATTTGGAAGGAATAGCTCTTAAATTAGGAAAAATTGCTACTTTAAGAAACCATTTCTTTAACATGAAATTATACAAAGAACTTGAACTATGATAATCTGAATTGACAGATTTCAAGAATGCCTTCTAGTCCGTCCCCATTTACTTATATTTTACAAAGGCACAGATTTAAAATAACCATGTCTTCTCGAGAACAATACTAAAAAAGTAAATATTTAGAGCATATGATCCCAGTAGACACAGTCTCAATCACCTCCAAACAGACTGTCAGTACTTTGCAGTAGGAGTTAGGTGGGACAGGACGAAAGTAAGATGGGTGAGTTTAAACATTTGAGTCCATTAATTTGCTTATTAAAGCCAAATATAAATTACTACACATTTTATATAAGCTGTACCTCTTAGTCATTCATTAATTATAAAAAAGAAGTACAGACCTTAATAACTAATCTTGGTAAGAAATAAGCGGAGCTAATCTATCAAATCAAAATGCTGTACATATTAAAATACTTCCAGCTTAACAATGTACATAAATTACTTAAACTCCATTAAAAAGGTGATTCAGTTCTGATAAGACAGTCTTCAGCAAGCAAATGAAAATAATGTTATACAATCAATGTTTTAAATACCTATGTCATCTGCAATAGCACTACTGCCAGAAAACATATGCTTAAAGACTAGTTTTTTAAAAAGCAGTTTTTACAAGTTTCTATCTTATAGTGAAGGCAAAAAATAAGTCAAAATAGCACCATATATTACATCAGTAAATTTTAATCTTTGACATTAAATTACTGAAATTTTTCTTACCTTAAATCAGGTAAAGGTGAAGGATTAATAAAAAGATTTTTAAATCTATAATTTGTGAATCTGGAGAAGTCACTTGTTCCTATTTCTTTGTGGGGTGTTTCAATGATAATGCAAGGACTGATCCCCCCGGATAATACAGGTGGCCAACAATTCTGTCATTTAAAAAACAAGAATACATTTGTACAGTAAGAAACCAGCTTTTGTCTGAGATCTTTTCTAAATGAAAGCTAATACTTCTAAACAGTCTATATAGTTTCCCCTAAACACCATCATTAGCTAACGGTGCTGACAGTCTAGTTAATTTAAGCTGACATTCATATTTAATAATTAGTCCTGTAACTCATATCACTGTTCATAAATAGTAACAGGTAGGATGTTTTAGACAACAAATTACAGTTCTGGAAATACAAGACATTAGGTATTGAGGGAGAGTAGAAAGAACAACAAAATGCATCAGTAGTCAAATAGCACTTTCAATATTGTAAAATTCTTCCTCTATATTTAGCAATAGTGTCCAGGGCACTTCCCCACCCTCTCCACTCCTTTAAGGCCTGTTTCAGGCCTTAAACTTTAGAATACATGAAGGCAAAACCTTGAATGGAGAAACAATTACTTAAATATCTAAAAGGGCCCTTTCTCCAGTCAATGAGGGTTTCAAAGAGAACCACTATTTCTACAGTGTTTTCTCTACAACACGTAGGCAGAGTAGATAGCAAAGGGCTGGGTGCCAGTGTGTCACCGACTTTACATCCTATTTATGCCCTAGGAGCAGCTATTAGGACCCTCCACTATAGTCAGAGAGGGAACAAAGAGCACTGCATTGGACAGATTAGGCGGGCCCTGGTGCACCAGGCAGCTCCTGGAGGGAGGGATTTACAAAGAGGAACCAGCTGCGTCAAGGCAAACTTACTCTGCAGCTGTAGTAGGATTCAGGGACATAAAAACCACCCAAAGACAAGCGCCTTCCTGCTGACCCCTAGGGGCATTAGAAGTGTCAGAGGAATCTTCCTACCGCAAAACAATAACACAATTTTTTTTTTTTTTGTCCCGCATTTGTGTCCCCCAAACCCAGCCCAGTTCTGCATTACCCTAATTTCATACTGATGTTTCTTGGTGACCTCCTCTTTTCTTTTTTTGACATCCTGGAAAATAAAAACGTCATGGTTACACTAAGGTCCCAGCAAGGAATTTTCTTTCTCCTCTCTTCCCCTCAACTCACCTGGGCCGTTTTTCTCTTCTTGGCCTGAATTACCTGGGCTTCTTGCGGGGAATCCGTCTGACTGGCCTGGGGCTGCTGTTTAGCTTGTAAACGGCTACTATAGAGTTTTTAAGAAGGAAGTTTAATTAGAAAGTGATTCATCTCAAAGGCAGCAGCTAACTTTGAAACATATTTCCAAGATAAATAATGTTACCTGCGTCTTGACATTCTCTTCTTTCAGGTGAAGGAAACCTCTGTGGGGAGGGGGGTGAGGAAAAACCAGAGTCAAATACGTGGTCATTCATACTCTCCAAGTCCAGTCAGAGGTTTACACCTAGGTTCCTCAGATGACCCGAGCCATTTTACCGCGTTGACTTCTGCACTATATTAACGCATGATTTATTAGACACATGCCTGTATTCCCTCAACTCAAGGTACAGCCCGGACGGGAATGTCTTCAAAAACATTTTGCAAAGCTCCCTCAGAACGCGCAGGGAAGCAGATGGGATCTTTTCTGCGTCCTGTACCCCTCTCCCCCGGACCCCCAACCCCAACCCCGAGCGGGGCCTGGGCAGCGTCCCCACTTTCCCCCACCTCCCACCCTGCACAAGTCGCGGGGAGAGGGGGGTTGTGGAGGCGAGACGCTGAGGAGAAGCCCGTTCCGCGCCAATTTGGAGAGAGACGGTGGCGGGGGAGCAGAGGGCGGAGGGAACTTGTGTCACGTCCTTCAGTCTCCTTTCCCTCCTTCCCGGCCCCGCCGGCCCCTGCCCACCGCCTGGAGGGGCACTGCGACCCCGACTCCAGATGGGAGATGAGGACGAAGAAAAGGCAGTTCCATTTAGAAAGTGGGGATCGGGGTGGGGGGGAAACCGTGGTGGTGTGGGGAAACCGGTCGGCTCTGGGAACTTTTCTCCCCGTGAAGGAGACCCTGACCCTCAACCCTCTTTCCTGAGGGGATAGCTCCCCCAATGGGGGCGGCACAGAGAAGCCCCGAGAATGAGGGGCTGCTCCGCGGGCCTCCCGCTTAGGGGCAGCCTTCCATCCCCTGCCACCTCCCAGGTCCCCTGCCAAGGGTCCTGACAGGGACGCGGAACGCGGGAACCCGGCGTCCCCAGACGCCTGCTTCTCAGCCCTGCCCGCTTTCCCTGCCCCCCAGGCTCCCGCCCGCGAGATGGATCGACCCGGGGGTGAGGAGTGGGGTAGGGGTGAGGGGGTTTCTTTCCTCCCGCATCCCGCCCTGCGCCCAGCACCTCCTCACCGCCAGACCCGCTACCGCTCGGCTCTCAGCTGGCGCCGGCGCCAACCCAATATATAGGCCGGGCCGGGCCCGCCCCGCGCGCATGCGCCGCAGACTGACACCTCCGGACTGCGCGCTCCCCTCCCCCGCGCGCCCTAAGTGGCCATCCTGTGGCGCAGGTTGGCTGTCCCGCCTAGGCCTCCAGGAACCCGGGTTTTCTGAGGAGACGCGCGGACCCTAAGGGCCCGCCCCCTGCGGGCGGAGCGCGGCGCCGGGGACTGGCGAGCTGGCCAATGGGAGGCGGGGACAGCGGCACAGCGTGGAGCCTCCTGGCGAGCTGGCCAATGAGAGACGGGGACGGCGGCACAGCATGGAGCCGCCTGGCGAGCTGGCCAATGGGAGGCGGGGATGGCGGCACAACGTGGAGATGCTGCAGAATGTAAACACAGCGCGGCGCGCAGGGGACCGAGTGTGCCGCCGCGCGCCCCACCCGGGCCTGCTGGGACCATTGGAGCCCCACGACAGCCACGTTCAGGGATGCCTGTCTTGCACTTTGCTCCAGCGCGCCCGCCGAGGTATGCATCAACCCTCTTATTTCCCCTGCCCTTTGCTATGCGGACTTGGTCACGACTCTTCGTGGGGGTGGGTCCCTCCACCCCATGTCACCCAGCCCCTGCCTGGCAGCTTCCCCATTCAGTGGTCCGAGCGCAGGAAACAAAACGCTCGCCCCGAGCCGCGCGGTCCCTCTCTCCTCCCAATCTCCAGTTCTGGAGCCCTTCAAGAGGAAGCGTAGACATCTCTCTGGAGCGGGGCCGGGGGTGGGTGGGCGGGTGGCATTGCCCCTTTCCCCAAGAGAACGGTGGCTCTCCGGGGGCCATGCCCGACGGGGACAGCGGTTCCACCACGTGCAGGCCCAGGGCCGGCCCGCCGCGCCCCGCCCCGCCGCTGCAGCCGCCAGCGCGCCCTGCAGAGCCCGCGCCAGCCGCCAGCGCGGGAGATCGCCGCCCGCCTCCGAGCGGTCAGGCGAGGAGGCGGTCCGGCGCGTGTTTCCCTCCTTTTCCCCTAGCATCCAGGTTTGGGGTTCCCTTCGCTGCCTCTGCTAACGTCCCGCCCCGGAGCGCCCCCAAGATCGGGGTGTCTCCCAGTAGGACCAGCCGTGGACCCTCCTGCAGCCCGGATTTGCGGAGCGAGAAAGTGGGGCGGGGGACGTCCTGCGGGAACAAAGACCCCCGGAGCGGGAGGAGCCGTGCGGAAGCTTCCTGGGCCCCGCGGCGGCTCGCGCCGGACGCGGGCAGGCAGTGTTCGCCTCTCTGCCCGGGCCCGAGTGGAGCCACCGGGGGAGGCCGGGAGCCCAGGCGCGGCGGCGCGGCCCGGGGCCTTCCCGAGATGCACCGGGAGGCGGCGGCCCCGGGCTCTCGGCTCCGCGCCTTTTGTGCCGCGCGGCCCCGCGGGGCCTCGAAATCACGTCTGCGCTTCAGGCAAAACCCTCCTTCACCGTTTTTTCACCACAGTCTCCGGACGCCGGCAAATAATTTGTTTGTTTCCCTCCCAAATTTCCCCGTGAGGAAATAAGGGTCTTGTCTAAGGTGACACGGGCTTCCCAGGTGGCGCTAAGTGGTAAAGAACACGCCTGTCAGTGTGGGAGACATGAGAGACGCGGGTTCGGTCCCTGGGTCGGGAAGGCCCTGGAGGAGGAAATGGCAGCCTGCTCCTGTCTTCTTGCCTGGAAAGTCCTCATGGACAGAGGAGCCTCGTGGGCTACAGTCCGTAGGATCGCACAGAGTCAGACAAGGCTGAAGTTGACTTAGTGCACAAAAAGGTGTCATTGAATCAGAAGAGGCCCAGGAAACTTCATACCATTTAGGATGGTTTATGATGGCTTTCTCGATGAGGGGGGAGTTGGCTCCTTTTTGTAGTCACCTCAAAACGCTGTGCTGTTCCAGTATAAAGCTTAGAGAGCTAATAGCGTGATGGTAAGAAATGGGAGGCCTTCCAACAAGCTTATGACTGGAACGTAAGCAAAACTGGTGGCCTCTGTGAGTGAATTTGGTAGTGACACTGAAAACCACTCTCGGGAGTTTGGAAGCTCAACGCCGGGCCAACTAGTAAATGAGATACCATAATTAGAAGTGTTCTGTGGACCATGCGGTTGACTATGAAATGAACACTGTGGAATCCTAGTAGAGGAGACATTAAAATACTAAGACTGCTTTGTGTGGAAAGGGACAGGGTGAATTCTGCCATATTACCAGGACCTGGTCACTGGTCAGGTGAGACCAAAATGAACAGGGCTTACCTTTCAGGTGGACAGAGTGTGGAATCTTGCTCTGCTGTAAGTCATCTTAATCTCTGTAAACCTGAGTTTTGTGGAGAAAAGATAACAGACCCTCGTTTCAAGGGCTGTTTCAGATTAAATTTTATAATGTGTATAGACACCCTCCGTATACACAATGGACATTAATTTGAGCAAACTCCTGGAGTCAGTGGAGAACAGAAGAACCTGGTGTGGTTCAGTCCATGGGGTTGCAGAGTCAGACACGACTTAGCCACTGACCAACGACAATAGAGACCCTCTCTTGCATGTGTACCTATCAGAGAGCAGCTGCTAAGTGTTGTCTTCACTCTCTATCCACCCCCCTTACTAGTTTATACTCAGAGACATGCAGATTATAAAACTGCTGTTTCCCAAAGTTTTATCCTTCTACTCGTCCTTTTGGGTACCTATTTTAGGTATCATCTTTCAATATGTTATCTTTGTTTTTTATTTGTATATGTTCATTTTCAGCTCCTTCCTTTTTCTACTTATCCCAGTTTTAATATTCACTTCCTTTGAAATGTATGAAATTCCTTTATACTTGTAACAGTTTTAGAAACATTGGCATGTTCTAAAGTTTATTTTGTCCATTGTACATGCAACGTTAAAACACCATGGTAAATAAACTGTTGCCTCTACAGTGCTTTCATTTTCAGCAAAAAGGAAAAGAAAGCGGGGAAGATTCTTAGAAGGACAGATTAAAAAAAAAAAATTAGGCCCAGCCCAATTATTTTTTGCTTCTGCACCTTTTCTGTGCCATACCTCTGTGCTCTTCAGTTATACTCACCTCTCAGGATAGTAATTACCAATTAAAATGTCTTTTGTCTTCAACTAGGTGATGAGCCTTGTTGTTGTTGTTTTTTTTTTTTTAACAGCCAGTACCCACCTGTTCAGAGGCATGCTTGATAGGAGCGTGGTAAATACTGAATTGAATTATGGATAGGATATCTCATTATAGAACTTAAATTCTGTAAGGTTAGAGTGATAGATGGTAGAATTATTCCCAATTAACATTAGGATTTTTTAAATTAATAAACTATCTTTTAGAAAAGTTTTACAGAAAAATCGAGCAGGTAGAACAGAGCTTCCATAAACTCCTCTGCTCTCCTCCACCCTCCCCCACCATGGCAGTTCCCCCTATTATTGACCTCTCACTTTACTGTGGTGCATTGATGCATTATATTATTATTATAATGCAAAGTTAAGAACAATTAAAGTCTGTGTTTCATTCAGGTTTCCTTAGTTTACCCTAATATCTTTTCACTGTGACAGGATACACACCTCACATTTAGAAGTCACATCTTCTTATGGTTCCTCTTGGCTGTGACTGTTTCTCAGACTCTTCTTGTTCTTGATGATCTTGACAGTTTTAGGAGTGCTGATCAAGTATGTTGGAGGATGTCTCTATGGGAATTTATTTGATGTTTTTCTCATGGTTAGATGTTTATGGGTTTGGAGGAAGATGATCACAGAGGTAAAGTGTCATTTTCATCACATCATATCAAAGCTCCATGCGATCATCATGGTTTATGAACTGCTGATGTTGACCTTGATCACCTGGTCGTGTTTGTCAGGCTTCCCCATTGTAAAGTTGCCCCCCACACCCCACTGTGTACCTCCTCTTGGGAAGTAGGTATGCAGCCCACACCTAAGGAGTAGGTCCTTTACCCCCCTCCTTCAGGGTAATGTACCTACATGGTTCATTTGGAATTCTTCCATGTAGGAAATTTGTCTCCTCATTTATTAAGTCATCCAATGATTTCTTTATATCTTGTTGCTCAAGTTCTAACTTTGGTCAGGGTAATACCTTTTTATTGTTATAGGGCTGATTTGAAGTTAAACAACAATGAATGTGGCTAAATGATAATCAGCGTTTCCCACATAAGAGAGGAATAAAACTCTCCCCCCCCCCCATTTCATTAAAGTAAAGTCTCTCAGTCGTGTCCGACTCTTTGCGGCCTACCAGGCTCCTCTGTCCATGGGATTTTCCAGGCAAGAATACTGGAGTGGGTTGCCATTTCCTTATTATCTGTATTAGCCAAAACGAAACTATAGAAAAGCAATTCTTCCAGATTGCAATACTGGATTACCTATCAGACTGTTCTTTATATTGCTTCATTATGGACATTTTTCAGTACGCCGGCTTTATTTTTGACCCAGGGAGTGGTGATACAAGGACTGCTAGTAGAGTTTGCTGCTGCTGCCTTGATTTGTTTCAGGGCACCAGTGGTTTTAACTGACGTTGCATTTGCATCATCAGAGCCAACAGTAATGTGTTGAAAAAGACAAATGTCATAATCATAATTTTTTTGTGAAAATAGTTGTGACCTTTTGGTCCTTCTGAAAGGGTCTTTGGGATCCCTACCCCTGCAGACATCTATGGAACACATTTTGAAAACGGCAGACCTAGTTTCCAAATCAGAATGCTGAGAGTCATCTTAGTCCTGTAGTGGAGTCTGATTCCAGCCCCCCTGTGCTGTATTGTCTTCCAATTACCGTTGCATCTCTAAAGGAGATCAGTCCTGAGTGTTCATTGGAAGGACTGATGCTGAAGCTGAAACCCCAGTACTTAGGCTGCCTGATTCGAAGAACTGACTCATTGGAAAAGACCTTGATGCTGGGAAAGATTGAAGGCGGGAGGAGCAGGGGACGACAGAGGATGAGATGGTTGGATGGCATCACTGACTCAATGGAGGTGAGTTTGAGCAAACTCTGGGAGTTGGTGATGGACCGGGAGGCCTGGCGTGCTGCAGTCCATGGGGTCACAAAGAGTCGGACACGACTGAGCATCACTGACCATCGCATCATTTCCAAATTCTCTTTCCCCCACCTCCTTAGTTCAGGACTCCATTCTTTCCTTAAATACTGCGTTAATCTCCTAACTGGTTTTCCTGACATGTGTGGCCCCTTCTATTTTGTGTTCCAGTGTATCTCCCAAGCTCTCTAAAGCATAGATCTAACCACCCAGCCAAGGGCCTGTTGTGGATCACTTTGGGTTAAAGGCCAAGGCCCCTACTTAACACACACAGCCTCTCGAACCCAGGAAATTCAACGGGGTGCCGTCCTGCACAGCCCTGCCTCTTTCACTTCCGACCTTTGCGCCTGCACCTCTCCCCCCACCTCCACTGTCTTCCCCAGCTACCTCCCGGGAATCCGTGCAGACGCAGAGACGCCTCCTCTAGAAGGTGTCCCAGCGGCCGGAGGCAGGGCGCCCCTTCACCCTTCCGCCTCCGGCCTCCCCCACGGCCCTTCCCAGGCAGC